AGGAAGAATCAGAATAAATAAAAACCATAGCAAAAACAGCAATAAGCAATGTCCATGAACAAGTCCATAAAAAACCACAGTTACCCTTGATGAATCATGAAATCTGCTAGCTCCCAGCTAACGACACTTGGAACAACTTGAGAAACTACGAGAAACCCAGCCACTTAAATCAGGAGGCCTCCACAGGCTTGCACTTGGAACTGGAACGATGCCTGGTCTGAAGGCAGCTTCAGACCCAGCACTCTTAAAGGAGAGAAATCTATTACGAGACACACCTGAAGTTTTTGTTTGCATTTCTCTCAATCTTTCTGACCTCAGTAAACTTTGTGCTTCTTCCCTGCTCTGCCAAATCTGCCCCCTCCTTCTCTCATTAGGCTGACCAGGTGTCAGATTCTCTGGGGAACTAAGGCTGGGAGAAAAAGGGAGTAAAACTTCTCCACTCGGTTCAGAATGAATGTTCTCATGAGAACTTTGACTTTCACTTTCCAAGGGTGTAGGATTTTCGCTATTCAACCCATCATCAGTATTAACATCTACACTGGCATCAGGAAATACAATCAAAGAATCAGGTACAGGGTCACACAGAGGCTGAACCCCAACACTTCCTCCCTCCCTCCCCCATTCTTATTTTCAGGGTAGTTCTTTTTTGTGGTTGGTCTTGTTTTGGGGATAGGTCTTATTTTCAGAGTAGGTCTTATTTTGGGGTTAGGTCTTATTTTCAGGGTAGGTCTTATTTTTGAGGGAGATCATGTTTTGCAGGTAGGTCTTAATTTCAGGGTAGGCCTTATTTGCAGGGGAGTAGTACCCTGTATGCATTATTTTCAGGGTATTTTCTCTTAATTGTGCAAAGGTTGACTTATAAGCTTGGGTTTTCTGAATTGAGTTCCACTGTTTCCATTCCATTTTAACCCCTAAATCCGATGTTCTTTCCCCCCTTTCTTTCTTGAGCTGGGGACCCAGGATTTTCGGGCTCTAACCTTTCATCTGCTACTGGTTCATATGGAGAGGTGAGGAAGGACCGTGTTTCCGATGTGGGAAAAAATTACCAGATCATCAAGAGGAATAAGACTACTCCGGGTGTCCGGGATCCAGAGGAGATTGTCTGCAAAGCCGAAGCTATGGTCGGGACAAAGAAGTACTACAACGTTTACACCAACAACTGCGAGCATTTTGCCACAGAGCTGTGTTATGGAGCTCCAGAGTGTCAACAAGTGCGTAGATCAGGTGTCCCCAAAGGGGGGTTAAATTAATATCTTCCTCTGAGCTTGACAGAGTGTGACTTGCCTAAAGTGGATTCAAACTACTGTGTCATGCCCCCTGAATACTGAATTCCTTCCCTTTCTGTTCATGCCCATATTTTCTCTTTCTTCCTTCCCACTCTATACCTCTTTCTTTCCTTTCTTCCTTCCTTTCCTCTCCTCCATCTCTTTTTCCTTCCTTCCTTCTTCCCTTTTCTTCCTCTTCCTTCCTTCCTTTCCTTTCTTTTCTTCCTTCTTCATTCTTTCCCTTTTTCTTCTTTTTTCTTCTTTCTCTTTCTTTCCTTCCTTCCCTTGCTTCCCTTGTTCCTTTCCTTCCTTCCCTTTTCCTCCTTTCTTCATTCCCTCTTTCCTTCCTTCCTTCTTTCCCTCTTTTCTTCCTTTTAACTTTCTTTTCTTCTTTCTTTCCTTCCTTCCTTCTTACCTTTCTTTTTTCCATCCTTTCTCCCTCTTTCCTTCATAGAATCATAGAGTTGGAAGAGACCTCATGGGCTGCCCAGTCCAACCCCATTCTGCCAAGAAGCAGGAAAATCTCATTCAAAGCACCCCTAACAGATGGCCATCCAGCCTCTGTTTAAAAGCCTCCAAAGAAGGAGACTCCACTGCACTCCAGGGCAGAGAGAGAGAGTTCCGCTGCTGAACAGCTCTCACAGTTAGGAAGTTCATCCTAATGTTCTGGTGGAATCTCATTTCCTGTCATTTGAAGCCATTGTTCCATTGTGTCCTAGTCCCCAGGGCAGCAGAAAAGAAGCTTGTTCCCTCCTCCCTATAACTTCCCTAAACATCTTGTTCCATGGCCCTCATCATGTCACCTCTCAGCCTTCTCTTCTGCAGGCTAAGCATACCCAGCTCTTTAAGCCACTCCTCATAGGGCTTGTTCTCCAGATCCTTGATCCTTTGAGTCACCCTCCTCTGGACACATTCCAGCTTGTCAACATTTCCTGTCAATTCAAAAAGACAGACCAGATGGGAGGAGTCCAGAGAAAGGCCACCAAAATAGTCAAAGGTCTGGAATCCATGTATCCCTATGAGGAGTGTGTTAGGGGAGGGGGCTTATTAACAAAAGACCCTCCTCATCAATGTACAACAGAGTAACTTAGCAGCAGCACGACCCAGAACCAGTAGCTCAAAGATGATAAAAGAACAAAAACACACAGACCAATGTTAACTCTTCTATAAGAGGCTTTTTTATAGCAAAATAACATGGTTGCACTATTTATAAGAACAAGGTTCCCACAACACAAATAAAGTTCTTTACACTTCCTTCTTTGCTTCCATGCTGGGCTTCTTTCTTATGCAGATAAACAGCTTCACTCTCCCAGACTGAAGTTACACAAAGCCTGGCTGCTTCCTACCTGGGGAAATCCTTTGTTGGGAGGTGTTAGCTGGCCCTGATTTATTCTTGCCGGGAATTCCCCTGCTTTTTGAGTTGCTCTTTATGCATTGTAGTAGGTAGTCTGTGGTTTGTTCTTCTTCTCTCACTGAACTTTCTCACATACCAGGCCTACTCACACCAAGGCCTACTAACACAGGCCTACCTCACACTGAGGCCTTTCTCCCAGTGAGGCCTTCTCACACTGAGGCCTCTCTCAGACTGACACCTCTCACATACTGAGGTGAACTAACACTGAGGTCTTCTCATACTGAGCCCTTTCTCCCACTGAGGCCTTCTCACACTGAGGCCTCTCTCAGACTGACACCTCTCACATACTGAGGTGAACTAACACTGAGGCCTTCTCATACTGAGGCCTACTAACAGACTGAGGCCCTTCTCCCACAGAGACCTCTCTCAGACTGAGGACTACGCCAGACTGAGGCCTATCCGGCCTTTCTCAGTGAGGTCTGCTAACACAAGACAAGAGTCTGAGGCCCTTCTCCCACTGAGACCTCTCTCAGACTGAGATCTACCTCAGACTGAGGCCTATCATACAGAGGCCTCTCTCACTGAGGTTTGCTAACACTGACGGCACCCACAGACTGACGGCGACTAAGCTACAGGCACACCTGTTTATATTGAACTACAGCTTTACTGTGTCATTGTATCAACCTTTTCAGTGCTTGACTCACAATTGTATAGTTAAAAATACCTAGTTAATTTTTAATATTTCTAACAGAGTGGTTGATACTTAGCTTGGAAAAGAGAAAGTTGAGGGGATGTTTACATATTACACAATGTTTACATATTTAGAAGGATTTTCTGTTGAGGAAAAAGAGGTCAGCTTGTTTCCTGCTTCTCCAGAGAACAGGACACAATGGAGCCATGGGTTCAAACAGCAAGAAAAGAGATTCCAGCTAAACATTAAGTAGAACATCCTGATCGTTAGAGCTTTTGGACAGCAGATTATTCTGCTGGCGAGGGGGGGGTCTCTATCTCTGGTGATTTTAAAGCAAAAGTCAGATGGCCATCTGTCAGGAGGGCTTGGGTTGTGCCTTCCCACCTGGCAGAATGGGGTTGGATTGGATAGCTCTTGCGGTCTCTTTCAACTGTAGGATTCTATGTCTTGTGCGTCTCATCCTTTGAGGTACGCTCCTTTTTTCCCCAAATGAAAAACCAAAACTACATCTCACAGCCAGAGTTAAAAATGCATGTGACTAATAGCCAATGGTGCTCTCTTTTTCTCCCTCTCAGACAGTCTGGGCCAAAATCATAGGGGGTCTTGTAGTGGCGGCTGGAGTCATCGTGACTGTATTCATGGCAATTCTAGGAAGAAGGTAGTAACATCAGCAACTCTGGAGTCGATTCTGAGAGAGAGGCCTGATGGACACATCCCCACATGACCACGGCTCCTCCGATTTCCTCCCATGCAACTCTGATGTGAATCCTTTTGGCGTCTCCAGAGCCTAGGACTCCAGTTCCTAACACAAAAAGATATCAAATAAAGGTGCCAAATCAATGCAAACAATCTGAGTTTCTCTTGCTTTGTGTGGTTTGGATTCAGCCATGGAGCACTACTTCATGGTACTGTGATGGTACTTGCTTTGATACTCTCCGATTCTGGGGAAGTGGTGCTCATCTCCATTTCTAAGCTGAAGAGCCGGTGTTGTCCATAGACACCTCCAAAGTCATCTGGCCAGCATGACTGCATGGAGTGCTGTTCCCTTCCCGCAGAAATGGTACCTATTGATCTACTCATACTTGCATGTTTTTGAACTGCTAGGTTGGCAGAAGCTGGGGCTAACAGCAGGAGCTCACCCACTCCCTGGATTCAAACCTGCAGGTGTGGTCTAACCAAGGCAGAATAGAGGGGAAGCATGACTTCCCTGGATCTAGACACTAGACTCCTACTAATGCAGGCCAAAATCCCATTGGCTTTTTTTGCCGCTGCATCACATTGTTGGCTAGTGATTTTGTCATTTGGGAGTTGTAGTTGCTGGGATTTATAGTTAACCTACAAGCAAAGAGCATTCTGAACTCCACCAATGATGCAATTGAACCAAACTTCACACACAGAACTCCAATGACCAACAGAAAATCCTGGAAGGGTTTGGTGGGCATTGAACTTGCATTTAGGAGTTGTAGTGCACCTACATCCAGAGAGCCCTGTGGACTGAAACAACGATGGATCTGGACCAAACTTGACACGGATACTCAATAGTTCCAAATTTGAACACTGGTGGAGTTTGGAGAAAATAGACTTTGACATTTGGGAGTTTATAGTTCACCTACAATGAAAGCATTCTGAACCCCACCAACAAGAGAATTGGGCCAAACTTCCCACACAGAACCCCCATGACTAACAGAAAATACTGTATTTTCTGATGGTCTTTGGTGACCCCTCTGGCACCCCCTCGTGATCCCCCCCCCCAGGGGTCCTGAGGTTGAAAAGCACTGCAGTAGACGAATCCTAGAGCTGCTTGTGCTTGACACTGGGACACACATTCCCCAGCGTTGGATCTAGAAAGAGAGAGGAAGCCAGAGAGAAAGTTTATCTTTGTTCCAAAGTATGGGAAGATGTCCTTGTTCGACCCCTGGGGGGGTCATGAGGGGGGGTTCAGTTGGGTTGCCAAAGACCATCAGAAAACATATATTTCTCATGGTCTTCGGAACCCCATGGCAGAGAAGGCTGAAGATCTCTCCATCTGTCCTTCTCTTCTTTTTTGGAAACAGACTGCGAATCCTCCCACCAAACGCCCTCCTCCACTGTGACTGGCCAGCTTCTCAGCAAGGGGGGAGCTGTTTCTGAGACTCCAAGCAGAGAGGGGAGAACAGGCATGCTGGGTGCATGGTAGCATGGTACACATGGGCGGGCGAGGGAGAGCATGCGAGGCTGGAGGGAGGCTCACACCAGCAAGTCCCATCAAGACACAGGGGTTCAGTGTGGGAAGTTTGACCCAATTCTATCGTTGGTGGGGTTCAGAATGCTCTTTGATAATAGGTGAACTATAAATCCCAACAACTACAACTCCCAAATGTCAAGGTCTATCACCCCCATTGTTCACCCCTTTTGAGCTCCTCCCTCAAAAACACATTCTCCCATCACCTATCTCATCCAAAGTTTTATCAGTTGTATCCTAGTGCATCTGGCCCGCACACTGTGTTCTATTTTCTGTTATGTTATTCTGTAACTGTTTATTTTATTTTGTTATTTCATGCGTTTATTTAGATGGTATTTTTGCTTCTTGTACTTTATTTTGCAGTATTGTTATTTTGGACTTTGCCTCATGTTAGCCGCCCTGAGTCCCCTTCAGGTAGATGGTGGCGGGATATAAAGAAAGACCGTGCTCTTACCTACAAGAAGCACTGCCTGAACATCAAGCAAAAAGTGGGTGCTAGAAACAATATCATACGAAAGCTGACTGGCACAACCTGGGGATCACAACCAGATACAGTGAAGACATCTGCCCTGGTGCTCTGCTACTCTGCTGCTGAGTACGCATGCCAGTGTGGAACACATCTCACCACACTAAAACAGTGGATGTGGCTCTTAATGAGACATGCCGCATTATCACGGGGTGTCTGCGCCTACACCACTGGAGAAATTACACTGCTTAGCCGGTATTGCACCACCTGACATCCGCTGGGAAGTAGCAGCCAATAGTGAAAGGACCAAGGCAGAGACATCTCCAGCTCATCCCGTTTGGGTATCAGCCAGCACGTCAACGACTTAAATCTAGACATAGTTTTCTAAGATCTACAGAGACACTCGCTGGAACACCTCAGCAAGCGAGAGTCCAAAAGTGGCAGGCTCAAACCCAGCACCTCAACCAATGGCTGATACCAAATGAGAGACTCCCTCCTGGGCACACAGAAGACTGGGCGACTTGGAAGGCACTGAACAGACTGCGCTCTGGCACCACGAGATGCAGAGCCAACCTCAAGAAATGGGGCCACAAAGTGGAATCCACAACATGCAAGTGTGGAGAAGAGCAAACCACTGACCACCTGCTGCAATGCAACATGAGCCCTGCCACATGCACAATGGAGGACCTTCTTGCAGCAACACTGGAGGCACTCCAAGTGGCCAGATACCGGTCAAAGGACATTTAACCAACTACCAAACTCACAAGTTTTGTATTTTTCTGTTTGTTTGCTTTGTTCTGTTAGAAATGTAATATAATGGACTGGTTGCTCTGACATGACAAATAAATAAATAAAGATTATTATTATTATTATTATTATTATTATTATTATTATTATTAAACTCCACCAGTGTTCACATTTGGGCATATTTAGTATGTCGGAACCCAGGCGCCTTAAAGAGCCAGACTCAGGAGTATGTCCAAAAGTATAGTTTATTATAACAAAGAAAAAGAGACTCAGAGACACTTACTTCAGTGCCTCTGGTCAAAACTCAGAAGTTGCAGCAATTTACAGCTTGAAAAACAAACTAAGACAATAATCCGGATTATCCTGGCAAAAAATCTGGATTAAACAGGAGAACAAAATCCCGCAAAATCACACAGTAAAAGGAAAACAATCAAACAAGAAGCCGTGAAGAAAAGTCGTTGTCCAAATGAAGTCCAAAGTCGAAGAAATCCAAGTCAAAACTTGCAAGGTTCCAAAATCCACAAGGCAGCGTCGTCGTCAAAAGCAGTCTGAAGTCAAGGAAAGGGGAAATCCACACTCACGAGAATCCAAGCCGGTCAGTAACACGAAGCAAAACAGCAACCTGTAGATCCAGGACCCAAGCCCAACAAGAAAGCGGCAGCGACAAGACCCAAGGCACGAAACCAACACTTTGCCTACTGCAAAGTTCTACCATTTCAGTGCCTACTTTTATCTTACAACTCATCATCCGATGATGAGCTGCCCTCCACCCCGTCCTCATCCCTCTCAGTTGGTTTAGCTTCCACAGCTGAGCGCCAACGCCCATCCTTCCAACTCTTCCACCTCTTGTCCCCAGGATTCCACGGTATCACCCGATTGCCAATCCCCACCACCAGAAAACCCCACAAATGTGTCCCTAGACCAGTGGTTCTCCACCTTCCTAATGCCACGACCCCTTAGTACAGGTCCTCATGTGGTGGTGACCCCCAACCATAACATTATTTTCATTGCTACTTCATAACTGTAATTTTGCTACAGTTATGAATCGTAATATAAATATCTGATATGCAGGATGTATATTCAGTCACTGGACCAAATTTGGTACAAATACCCGATACGCCCAAATTTGAATACTGGTAGGGTTGGGGGTAATTGATTTTGTCATTTGGAAAAGCTGGAGTTGCTGGGATTTATAGTTCACCTAAAATCAGAGAGCCTTCTGAACTCCACCAATGATGGAATTGA